CACTTTATGGGGTCGGAAACGCTTCCTTCTGCCTGTTACATACTTTCCGACGAATCTAGTATACCCTTTTACTCTACGAGTAACGGGTACAAAAATACAGAACCATTATATTTTGGTTTCAAAACAACATATACGCTGGTAAAAAGAAAAATATTTCTAAACATTTCTGTAAATATTTTAAGGTTTCTAAAAACTGGAAGCCTCTGTACAACATACATTGCTCCCATAGGAACGACCTGCATGGTCGTCAAAGTCAGCTTCCGTTCTTGTTTTTTGGTATCATCTATTGGAATAAAATCCGTCCGTATGAACGGTGAGATCGCACTCTAACGCCCCCAAACCGCCCAAAACTGTGGCGCCCCCAGATTTAACGGCAGAACACAAATTATACCCTTCGATTAACCAAGAAACTAACTTTAAGGAATTTTAGAAAATGTAGAAATGTTTATCAATAACTATCTACTTGCCTACGATTTTCTCAAATCGGATCATTCATAAAAAAGTTATAACCAAGCAATGTAAACGCCGCTAGGTGGTGCCATGCAATCTCGGAAAAAGTCGAGAGTCAACAAAATATTCAAGTCATATGCAGATGTACTTACATTTGACCGCGTGCAAAGTCGACTACTATACATATATGAAATAATTTAAGCCTGCTGTGATGGTCCGATCGGAAGAAACGATATTACGTTCGAGGCGGGTTATCCAAAGCTGAAAGGTGTGATACCAAGGCTTTAGGCAAATATACTGATTTTTGACACTTCCGACAAGCGAGATACAAATATTGAAAGTTTTGATTTATGTTTATGTTGTGTGTGCGATCGTCTCGTCTTCTTTACCTCATCTGTAGATATTGTCATTTGTAAATAGTTGTAAATAGATCCTCAGTTATGCAACCAATCTTAAATACAATCGTCGTCTTTTTGCAGGTGGTTATGTATCTTTTGATGTAGATTTCGTTATTTTGATTCCATATTCCTATTCTGCGAGTCACCGAAGTTTGTTATAAGCCAATATTAAGCGATAGCAGATCTTATAAATTGTTTACGTGGGAAACATGTCAAAAAATCTAGTAAGCATGTTCTTAGAGTGCTGTGAATCGGGTGAGGACAAGGAACACAAGCTTATGAACAAGTTAATAGACCTCGAAATACGCAAGGAAAGGAAGAAGTCGAAATTCGAGTTTAAGCTGTTGCTGTTGGGTAAGTGGAAAAAGTAACTGTTTGATTGCACTAAAGCTTACTTAAATTTAATATTTTCCAATTTAACACCCTCAGGAACCGGCGAGTCTGGAAAGTCAACATTCATCAAACAGATGCGAATTATCCATGACAATGGCTTCTCGGAGACAGAAAAGCAAAGGTACATCAAACTAGTTTTCCAAAACGTATTCATGGCCATGCAGTCAATCATCAGGGCCATGGAAATGCTGAATATTTCCTATGGTCAGGAGGAGCACAGAGTGAGTATATTAATGGATTAGCATGTACTATATACGTGCTGTGTATATATTTATGCTCACTTAGAAAAAATGAATGTGATTTACAGGAACTTGCCGATCTGGTGATGAGCATCGATTACGATGAAGTCACCGTTTTAGAGGATCCATATTTAAATGCCATTAAAACGCTTTGGAATGATGATGGTATCCAGGAGTGTTACGTTCGTCGTAGAGAATATCAGCTAACTGATTCAGCAAAATAGTATGTCATCCGTTCAAAGCCTAAGCGCAACGATTTTTGTTTAGAAAGATCGAAGATCTTTGAATCTAAATCAAAACGTTTTGCAATTTGATCGTGGTTTAAAAATTACCTTTTTTATATTATTTAGTTTCCTGGGCGACATAGCTCGAATTGAACAGGCTGAGTATTTGCCAACCGATCAGGATATTCTCCGTGTTCGAGTGGCCACAACTGACATTCATGAGTATCCATTCAACTTGGATGGCCTTCAAATAAGGTATTTATTCAGTAACGCTATAGTCGAGTGCCTCGACTATCATATACCCATTACTCAGCTAACCAATTTTACTCATTAAAATTTAAATGGTGGCCCTCGGCTGAAATAAAACGTGGGCTTCATAGCCATTTAAATTGTCTGTTGTGGCAAATATCAGAGTCTGAGTCTAAGATCCCAACTCTCTAGCTCTTATAGTTTCCGAGATCACAATAGGGGTCGAAAACGGTTCCCTCCGCCTGTTACATACTTTTTCAAAATAGAATAAAACCTACTTAACTAGTAACGGGTATAAACAATACAATAAATACATTTTTTGTGCAGCTTAATATTCATGTAGTTATGATGGAGCCAGTAAACTCGAGTTTTGTAATTTTATTACTTACTAATATTATATCTGGCTTGCGTTGCTAGCATCTTAATGAACTACAAATAAGGATTTTATTTGAAAATATTATATTTTTCTTTTATGTTTAGTATGGTGGATGTCGCAGGTCAGCGGTCAGAGAGAAGAAAATGGATTCACTGTTTTTCAAATGTGACAGCAATTATATTTTTAGCAGCCCTATCGGAATACGATCAAGTCTTGTTTGAATCTGAAAATGTTGTACGGTTAAATGTCATACTTTTCAGTTTAACGCCGTAAATTAATAAATTTATTATTTGCAGAATCGAATGGAGGAATCTAAATATTTATTTCAGACTATAATTCACTACGAATGGTTTCAAGATAAATCAGTAATTCTTTTCCTTAACAAAAATGACTTGTTAGAAGAGAAAATAAAGAATTCACACTTGGTAGACTATTTTCCTGAATACGATGGTAAGTGTTAACCTTCTTTACCTGTGCTACATTTATACATTTTAATTGATTTATCATCGAAAAGGTCCAAAGGGAGATGCTATCGCAGCCCGAGAATTCATATTAAAAATGTATAATGATTTAACGCGGAGACCCAAAAAATCGAATAAGCCAGATATAAGCATTTATTCACATTTTACCGTTGCTACAAGTAAGTACCATATAACTTGCCACTTACTTTTATTTGACTATACAAATGTATATTATTGGATAATAGTCCGTAAAGTTTCCGAACGGAATTTGTGCACAATTTACGAACATAAATCTATAGTTTTCATTACTCCAACTAATTAAATCTTAATTTCGTTGTTTAGATACCGAAAATATTAGGTTTGTGTTTGCAGCCGTTAAGGACACAATTCAGGAATCATACTTAAAGATTTTTAACATGGAATAACCTGGAAGCCACACTCAAAGCCTGAACGTCTAGTTCGTTGCATCGCTGAACAGCATGATTCTATAAATTTTGTGTTATATTTAAGTACCAAATGATTATTTTGTCAAAAAAAAAAAAAAAATTAAGGTATTACTGTTGGGTAACGGTTTCAACCAAAATCTTATTGTCCTCAGATACATTATATATTTGAATACATTTGGGCTGTTCGATTTTATTGTGCCGAGAAAAGTATCTGTGCTACTAAGATATTTTCACCCAAAAGAACGTTAGTAAATTAAACTTTTATTTGCAATTGTACAAATCATATTATTATACCAAAGTTATTTTTAAAGTTAAATAAAAGTATCAATGTAAGATCTTAAAAGTAAATAAAATAAAATGTAATATAAATATAAGTATTTCAGAACGGATCTATATTTCAGACTTCTGCGCTTTTCAACATTTTACGGTATTGTACTAAAATTTTAGGGAGAATTTCTATTTGTACCATGGCAATTTATTACAATTATTTATTATAGTTAACGCATGCCAAATCTCAATAGCCTAGCTCTTATACTTTCCGAGATCTCAGAGTTCATCCGGACAGACGGACATGGCTAGGTCGACTCGGCTAGTGATCCTGATCAAGAATATATATACTTTATGGGGTCGGAAACGCTTCCTTCTGCCTGTTACATACTTTCCGACGAATCTAGTATACCCTTTTACTCTACGAGTAACGGGAATAACAAGGGAGAACGCTATAGTCGAGTACCTTGACTATCAGATACCCGTTACTAAGCTAAAGGGACCAAAGGGAAATGGAGAAATGCAAGCAGTAAAGCGAGATTGAAATGCGCCACCTACCCGCGATCTCAATGTGTGGTTATTTGGGCGGTAGACAGATTTAAGAGGTATGGGCGTTAGAATGGGCGTGGCAAACTTTTGCTGGGTCAATCAATAGGTCTTGACGAGACAAATACATTTAGTTACATTTTTTTTTTAGCATGAAGCAGTTTGTGGGCGTTAAAGTCGGCGTAAACTTTTTCTAGCACAAAAATTGTGGGCACAACAGGCTTAGGAGGGTTTGAGGTCGTTAGAGTAAGAGTGGCATATTCGCGTAACAAGCTTGCGCTGGGTACAAGGCTATGGAATCTAAATCTGAAATCCCAATTTTCTATGTTAGATAGTTTCCGAGATATGCGCGTTCATATTTACGATTTGTTGAAGTTTTTGCTCGATTTTTGGCGTAACAAAGTTTTTTTTTGGGTCGATCGATAGGTATTGATGAGAACAATACAATGCAGTTTAAATTTTTATTCCAGCATTAAAACTGTAGGAGCCACAGTTTTGGGCGGTTTTTGGGCTTTATGGGCGTGACACACTGACGGAGCAAACTTGCGCTGCGCAGGAATTTCTATTTCATTTGCAGTGTCCGAGATCACAGCGTTCATACGGACAGACTGAGAGACGGACATGGCTAGATCAACTCGACTAGTGATCCTGATCAAGAATATGTATATTTATGGGGTCGGAAACGCTTCCTTCTACCTGTTACATACTTTCCGTCGACTCTAGTATACCCTTTTACTCTACGAGTAACGGGTATAATAACATTGCTCTGCAGTCGCGTGGTTAATTTTGGTTATTTATTACTAGTGCTTACGGTATTTTATACACCAAGTTTTATTAGTATATTGGTTTAGTCCAAAACATCGGCTACTCCGTCCACTGTGCACAGTGATAAGTAAAGCAGATTAACTCAGAGCAAGCTGTAGAAAAAAAAACTGCCACTCAGTTTTCGGATATTCTTCACTCCGAGCAGGCTTTGCTTGTGGCGATAAACGTAAATGTATTACAGTTTTCTATTCAACTGACAGGCTTCGTTTTTGCGGGATGAAATATAAACAGAATCAAAACAAAGCCAAAGAATTTTACTACTAAATTGTGACCCAAAAAGTCAAATAACTTCCTTAAAAATTTATAACGCTTAACGCTAAAATAATACTTATAAAAAACAAGTGAGTCATTTAAAATAATTCGGTTAATCATTTCCATTAAGCGGAACTCGTCATAGGAAGTAATATGTGAAAGGGATGAAAAAAAAACTTATATCGATTTCGTATCGATATTAAATTAAAGTCATGTTTTTATACTTTTGTTATTCAGTAAAAAAAAGAAATAACAAGAGAGATCGCTATTATTAATGTCCTCGACTATAAAAAAGACTCGTTACTCAGCTATGGAGAGTGCGAGGGAGATGGATTTATGCAAGCAGCAAATCGACTGCTCCCAAGATTGCAAAACACGTCAGTGCGCTAGCTCTGCAAACTTTGAAAATGTGGAATTAAAAAATAACTAGTAGTTTGCCGAGTTGAAGCTCACAATATACTCAAAACTGAAGGGAGACGTTTTCTTAAAAATAACTTTTACTTATCTTAAAAATTGTTGCTTACTTATTTTTTGTGATTTAGGAGTTCAACTCTACCAGGCTACCATCATCATTCTTGAAGTATTTTAGCTGTAAACTAGTGTAATTCAAATATAATCCCTCTTACACTTTTAGAAAATCTTCAAAATCGAGCGACGTAAATAATTCCAGTACCGGGTGTAAGAATGTATGTAATGAACGCTTTATCTTAAAGCAAATATGAATATTGGATTTATGACACATTATATTTTGCTCGGAACACGTAAGAGCGCCCATTCTCTTATGTTTCTTATGTGCATCAATATAAATTTTCACACGACAGTGCTGAAGTGATTTCTGTGGCACCCCTGATGAGTGATAGTTAGAAAAACACATACTTCGACCTCTCTTTAAACCTACGACCACTCGCATTGCAAAAATACGTTATAACTAAATTGACCGCGAATCGTTCGGAAAGAGCGTGACTTGCAGAGGGTATTAAGTTTATAAAGCAGTGGAGGAGACGTGTCCGACCCTATAAAGTTTATATTTCCTTGATCAAAACCTCTAAAAGTGTCGATATATATATATCCGCCTGTTTTAATATCGTTTGCGACATATAACCTCCTACACTTGGAAATAACATTTTTTAATTAGTTCTGAATTTCGAATTTAATTTTATCAAAATCGGACGACTATATCATACAGCTGCCATAGGAACGATCGGAAAAGTGGTGGGAAAATAATATGAAACAAATTAAAGCTTCGGTGTTTTCTGACATATTATCTTATACTATTGGGAATATCATTTTTTGTATTTTTAAATTTTATAAATATACCTGCAAGGGTATACAAGCTTCGGCTTGCCGAAGTTAAAAAATCGATATAAGTTTTTTTTTTTAGCAACTTTGGACGTGCGTTTCAATTTAGCAACTTCGGTAAAGTCGGCAAGGTCTTAAAACCTCTGATTGCCGAGGTTAGCTTCCGTTCTCGTTTTACCCGTTACTCGTAGAGCAAAAGGGTATAGTATACTATAGTATACTCAATTTGAGTGCAAATTACTTAAATAGTTCTCTCTGTGTAGATTCGTCGGAAAGTGTGTAAGAGGTAGATGGAAGCGTTTCCGACATATATATTTTTGATCAGGATCACTAGCCGGGTTGATCTCGCCATGTCCGTCTGTCTGTCCGTCCGTTTGAACGCTGAGATCTCGGAAACTTTAAAAGCGCAAGTGCAATACCCATCTACATGCCAAAAATTATTGATATCAAACCATTCATCAACAAATTATAGCCAAATAATAGTTGGTGTTATGGGCTAGGTAGCGCTAGGTGGCGCTGGCTACAAGCAAGCTGATCTCCATCCCTCCCTCACTCTCTTTAACTGAGTAACAGGTATTTGATAGTCGATGGCATCAACAAGAGAGCCCTCTCTCGTTTTACTGTCCTCGCGGGAAGGATTCGATCTCGGGACCTTTCTAAACAAAATATCATTGTCCCGACGCCTCTAGCATCTCAACCACCCTGAAAATTCGATTTTCTTATTGCATTTTAAATTTAAGTACGATTGCTTCTTATTTAAGGATATTTCAATTTAACATTTTCAGGAACGATTCTTAAAAATCTCGTTCAAAATTTTCATGAGTGTAAGCCCTGAAATTGTTTTAGAGTGTAATATACAGCCCTGAAATTGTTTTAAACATATTTTTGTACTTATTTGCAAGGCGTACGCGTGAAGTCATTAATCAAAGCTCAACCTTTCTTCAGATGCTGGCTTGTTTTTCTAGCTAAAGCCAAATAGAGCTTGGATAAATTTTGTAAGCATGGACTGCTGTTTATCGGATCAGGATAAGGAGGAAAAACGCATCAGTAGGGAAATCGATAAGAAGTTGCGCAAGGATAAAAAAAAGGCACGCCTAGAGTTTAAAGTATTGGTCCTGGGTAAGTGGACGACCGGCACTTACGGCTACATAATACCCAATCCTATATCCCCAGGCACGGGCGATTCCGGCAAGTCAACATTTATCAAACAGATGCGCATTATCCACGGAAGCGGCTACTCGGTCGAGGACAAGCGTAAGCACATCAAGCTGGTTTTCCAGAACATATTCATGGCTATGCAGTCAATGATCATGGCAATGGACGAGCTTAACATTCCATATGGTCAGGGGAAGCATATTGTAAGTATAACTTCAACTTAACGAATAAACGTGTAGTTAATCACCGATAAATGGATGCTATCTTCAGGAACTGGCTAACTTGGTAAGAAGTATAAATTATTCGACCGTTACCACGTTAGAGGATCCCTACTTGAATGCCATTAAAACGCTTTGGGAAGATGCTGGTGTCCAGGCGTGCTACGACCGTCGCAGAGAATATCAGCTGAATGATTCAGTTGCATAGTGAGTTCCCTTTTTCAAAAATACCCTTACACATAAACCGAATCCTATCAAGGTTCTCGTCCGCTCGTTTAACTAGAAGTGGAGTTTAAACTCAAAATTTCCATATGTTTTATAGGTTTAAACCGTACTTTTAGTTTAACATGAGGACGAGAAAACGGATCTAAGTAAGGTACTACTGCCAACTTAGTGGACTAAGACTGCTTGTTAGGTTGATTTATGTGGGAACCCGTGTCAGCTGATCGGGATTCGAGCCCAACACTGGATACATAAACTCACCACGACGCGTGTTGAATCGCGTCGTATGTTGAGTTCAAGAAGGAGTCGACGATAAGCAACGAAAGCGAGCGGTAGCGAGCAATAGCGACTGTTTAATAAAAGTTATTAAAACTACTATACACGTGTTATTACTGGAGTATTACATTGGCGACGAGGATTAAAATCTATTACTGACGGATAAGAAAGACTACTGAGTATTAATAAAATAAACGACCGCTGCCAACGAATGCAGGTAAAGAAAAAAAAAAAGTGCATAAGCTGGAAAAGGGAATAGAGATACATACATATATGTATGTATATATATTCCTGCACGTGCAGCGCTCATGTATGTGCGAAATGTACATGCGATGTGTAGTTGTATGTAAATGTGTGAATATGCAAGCTTGGTACGCCACAAAACGAATAAGTGGGTAAAACGTCCGTTCATCGAGAGCCGATTAAATTCAGGCTGATGAAATAAAAAGAAAAGAAGAGACAAGAAAAAGGAAACTGGAAAAGTTTCGATCACGTCCGTTCATCGAGAGCCGATTAAATTCAGGCTGATGAAGGAAAAAAAAAAAAAAAAAAAAAAAAAAAAAAAAAAAAAAAAAAAAGAAGAAAAGAAAAAAAAAAGGAAAGAAGAGACAAGAAAAAGGAAACGGGAAAAGTTTCGACCACGCCACGAAAAATAGGTTGAAGCAAGTGTGCGGATTAAATTCCTGCAGATCTAAAGAGAAGAAACACACCACGAAAAGAAAAATAAGAAAGAGGTGGTGGTAGATGAGAGAGAGATGTAAGTGCAAAAGCGAATGCAAAAAGGCATAGCAAAAGCGCATGTTTAAGAGCGTGGTGGAGTTGAAAATAAAGCAAATGATAATAACAACGAATTGTTATTATTGGAGCTGAAAAAAAAAAAGTTGATTGTTATTATTTTTCTTGAATTTCAGTAATCTACCGAAATGGCGGAGCTAAAACCATTTCTATTTCAAGCATTTGACAAGGCGTTGTGGAGAAATGAGTGGGAGACATGGCTGCGCTCTTTTACCATCTACATAGAGTCGGAGGAGATAACGTCTGTGTACAAAAAGCGAAATAAGTTGCTGCACCTGGGTGGACCGCAGTTGCAGGCAGTGGTGTACAACTTACCCGGGGCACTTGTTGCGTTCGACGAGGAAGCCAATAATGACATTTTTACACCTCTAGTGGAGAAATTAACCGAGTATTTTTCTCCACAACGGAACTCGGTTTTCGAGAGGCACCTTTTCCGGACTATGGTTCCTGTGGAAGGTGAAGGCTTTACCGAATTCTTAATGCGCTTGCGTCGACAAGTTGCAAAGTGCTCTTTCGGCGAAACCAAGAAGGAAATTGAGGAGATCTGTCTCAAAGACAAAATCATAGATGTCTGGGCGCCGGTGGACTTAAAAAGGAAGCTCTTGGAGAACGAATTTACTTTAAATGATTTTGTAAAGATGTGTCACATCGAAGAGCAGGTTAACAGGCAGACAGAGACGATGGGTGCAGCTGGCCAACAAAGCACAATTCAGAGAGTTTCACATCAAAAGGCACGAAACCCTGATACACTGCAAGAATGTGGTCGTTGCGGGAGAAAGGGACATAGGGAGAACAGCCCAGATTGCCCAGCACGAAGCGCCACATGCAGGAAATGCTCAAAGATTGGACACTTCGCACGGAAATGCAAGACCAAAATAAGAGCAGGCAACCACGACGCGGACGGGCCTTGGGCAAAACGGCCACGGCGTACAGACACACACATCAGGCTGGTTAATTGTGAGTGTGTGCACGACGGAGAAAAGTCAGCAAACTCTGATTGTTTTCGAGTAGCCACCAAGGGGAATAATGACGAGATTATTCCATGCAAAGTCGGCGGCAGGACAATGGAAATGGTTATCGACTCTGGTTCCAAACACAATCTATGCAGTCAAGCAGATTGGCAGAAACTTATCGACGACCAGGCAACCATTTTCAACATGCGCACTAAATCATCGAACCAGTTCCGTTCTTATGCTTCTGATCAACCTCTCAAAATATTAAGAGTATTTGAAGCTCCGATAAGCGTAAAAAGGGACCCGGAGGTAATTGCTACGTTTTACGTCATAGAAAACAGCAGACAATCACTACTAGGATGTGACACTGCGATACAACTCAATGTTTTAAAACTAGGGTTAAACATAAATCGAGTTGAGCAGATTGGGTCGTTCCCCAAATGGAAAGATGTTCAGATAAGGCTTTCAATTGATCCAACGGTGGTGCCTGTCAAACAACCCATGAGGCGAGTCCCGACGGCGCTGGAGCACAAGGTAAACGCAAAACTAGAGGAAGCCCTAAAATTTGATATTATAGAGCCGGTAACTGGGCCGAGCGCTTGGATATCGCCAGTGGTCATCGTGTTTAAAGAATGTGGAGATATTCGAATGTGTTTGGACATGCGCAGAGCCAATAAGGCCATAAAAAGGGAAAATTATCCTCTTCCGACGTTCGACTCATTGATGACCAAATTGAAGAACGCTAAATACTTTTCTCGGCTTGATCTAAAGAACGCCTATCATCAACTTGAGCTTGACGTTGCGAGCCGGGAGATAACGACATTCATTACACATCGTGGGCTGTTCAGGTATAAGAGGTTGCTATTTGGAGTGAACTCAGCTCCGGAGATTTTCCAGAGGCTTATGGAGGAGATGCTGGCACAGTGCCCAAATGCCATAAACTATATTGACGATGTTATAGTTTTTGGCAATACCCTCGAGGAGCACGACATGGCGCTGAGCGCGGTGAAAGATGTTTTTGTGGGCCGTAATGTGATGCTCAACGAGGAGAAGTGTGTTTGGCGGACAACTAAGCTGAAATTTCTTGGTCATATCCTCTCTGACAAGGGGATTGAGGCGGATCCAGGCAAGATTGAGATAATACAAAACTTTAGAGAACCCAAAAATAAGGAAGAGGTCCGCAGCTTTTTGGGTTTGGTCACGTATGTTGGAAAGTTTATACCAGACTTGGCGGATACGACAGAGCCATTGAGAGGATTGCTCAAATTGAACGAGAAATTCATATGGGGTGAGGCGCAGAAGTTAGCTTTTAAACAATTAAAGGAAAAGGTTTCAGTAGTCCCCATGCTGTCCTATTTTACCTTGACTGATCGGACTAAGTTGATTGCGGACGCTAGTCCGGTAGCGTTAGGAGCGGTATTGGTGCAACTAGACAAAGATAAAATTCCCCGTATTATCTCGTTCGCCAGCAAGAGTTTATCGGAGGTAGAAAAAAGGTACTCTCAAACAGAAAAGGAAAGTCTCGCGTTAGTCTGGGCGGTAGAAAAGTTTTATTTTTATTTGATCGGATTAGAATTTGACCTAGTAACAGACCACAAACCTCTGGAGGCTATATTTAAGCCCACTTCCAGACCTCCAGCCCGCATCGAAAGGTGGCTTCTACGCCTACAATCTTACCGTTTCCGAGTCGTGTATAAGCCAGGAAAAGAAAACATCGCAGACTCATTGTCGAGACTGTCCCAGGAAACCGAGTCAAACTCATTCGATTGGCAGGGGGAGAAAAACATTTTTCATATCGTCTCAAATTCAATTCCAGTTTCGTTATCAATCTCAGAGATAGCAGAAAGTAGTACTCATGATGAGGGGATAATGGATGCAATGACGTGCCTAAAGGAGGATTCGTGGAAGCTAGCTACATCGAGTCCATTCTATCCGTTTCGATTTGAAGTGTCGACGCTCGGTAATTTGCTGCTAAGAGGAACAAAGATAGTGATTCCGAAAAATCTGCGACGGAAAGTGTTGGAGTTAGCACATGAGGGTCACCCAGGCGAGACTGCAATGAAGCGGCGACTCCGATCGAAAGTATGGTGGCCACGAATGGACAGAGAAGCTGAAGAGTTCGTTAAAACCTGTCGTAGCTGCATTTTGGTGTCTGCTCCGGTACGTCCGGCCCCAATGAAGAGGCACTCGTTTCCAAATGGCCCATGGAAGTGTTTGGCAACCGATCTGTTAGGCCCGCTACCAAACGGAGAATACATTTTGGTACTAATCGATTATTACTCTCGATATATGGAGTACAAAATAACGAGGAGCATCACATCAAAGACTATAATAAACGAGATGGAGGAAATTTTCGCAAGGCTAGGTTTTCCCCAAACATTAACAGCGGACAACGGTCGCCAGTTTATAAGCGCGGAATTCAAAGAATTTTGTACAACAAACGGGATCGAGTTGCGTACAACTCCTCCATATTGGCCACAAGCGAACGGCGAGGTGGAGAATATGAATAAATCGCTGGTTAAACGTCTCAAAATCGCATATGCGAGTAGAAGTAACAATAAGAAGGAGTTGCAAAAGTTCGTTCTTATGTATAATGTAACACCGCATAGTACAACGGGTGCAGCTCCAACCCAGCTGATGTACAATCGGACGATTCGAGATAAAATTCCCGGAATTGAGGATATTTTGGATCAGGATGTGGACTCGGAGGAAAGAGATAAGGACATGTGCCAGAAAGAAAAAGGGAAGAAGGTAGCAGATGCAGCTAGAGGAGCAAAAGATATTCAATTAACTGTAGGTGACAGGGTTCTAATTAAAAATGTTATTATCCCCCACAAGCTAACACCAACGTTCGATCCAACGGTTTACGAGGTGACCAGCAGAGACGGTGATGTGGTCCAGGTAACCGGAAATGGGAAGTCGTATACCAGGAACGCCAGTCACCTCAAGAAAGTCGAATCCTCTGCTGCAGTTCAGCCAGAGAAGGGCCAGTCCCCGAAAAGGACTGATGAATCATTCCCGGCCAAACCAATTGACGCGGAGCTCACCTCACAGATGCCACAGGGAGGTCTAAAACTGCGTCTGAAAAAAAAAGGAGAGATGTGGGAACCCGTGTCAGCTGATCGGGATTCGAGCCCAACACTGGATACATAAACTCACCACGACGCGTGTTGAATCGCGTCGTATGTTGAGTTCAAGAAGGAGTCGACGATAAGCAACGAAAGCGAGCGGTAGCGAGCAATAGCGACTGTTTAATAAAAGTTATTAAAACTACTATACACGTGTTATTACTGGAGTATTACAATTTACATGTTTGGGTACGGATTCTGTTCTTAATTTTATAATCTTTTAATCTATCTTATTAAGCTTCCTGAGCAACATAAAACGAATTGAACAGCCTTATTACCTGCCGACAGAACAGGATATTCTTCGTGTTCGTGTGCCAACAACTAAAGTTGATGAGTATCTATTTAATTTGGATGGTTATGTGATAAGGTATTTATTTTAATTCCTTTAGCTGAGATGAATAACATTTGTCTTACAAAAAATTTTATTGCTTGATGTACACGGAGGAAAAATTTATAAAAAATAAAAAAAAAATATAAGGATCACTTTTATAAAATTCAGAATACATTTTTATATGTTCGCCGTAAGCTAGAGAGATAACTTTCAAAGAAAGGAAATATCGACTTGATCCTTATGTGCTTTTTCTGTGTATGTGCATAATTTATAAAGTTCATTTAAGTTGAAACTTAATGAAAATTTTAAATAAAACAACATATTTTTTCTAATAAACAGAATGGTGGACGTTGCAGGTCAGCGAAACGAAAGAAGAAAATGGATTCATTGTTTTTCGAATGTGACATCAATTATGTTTTTGGCAGCACTATCGGAATTCGACCTATCATTGGCTGAATGTAAACATGATGTAAGGTGACAAGACTTATAGCCTCATTCCAACAGCACATTTTTGACATTTCAAATCAGCGGCTTGTGTGAGGTTTTTGCAAGGGGCAGCTTATCGATGTGTTCGCTGTACGTGTGCCGGCAGAGGCTAAGCATAGCTATTTCCCATGCCCGCTTAATGGGATGCTGCCGACCGCTGTTTTGAATGTAGGAGATTCTAGTGGAGGATGTACATTATGGGCGTCAACTCAAAGCGGCGGCTTTATTTGAATGTTGATCATTGTACAAAAGTTTAGACGTAGCTAGTTGGTCTTGCGGGAAGAAATCAATGCATAATAATATATATATCCCTAACCTTGATAAGTATCAAACGGGTAAAACGTATAAAAACTAGAAAACTTACAGAACGTTTTTTAAAAATTCATCTGAATTTAAATACGGACTTTTACAAAATTCATATTAAATCAAAAACTGTAAATATCAATAAATCACTATAATTAAGCATTTACTTTATACATTTACTTTTCACATTTCCTTTTAAAAACGACATTTTCGTTTGGAGTCTCATGTGTAGAATAATGCTTATTCTGACAAATGTGCAAATGGAATCCGTCTTTTACATTTTATTATATAACCTAAAAAATAAAAAGTTTATAATAATAAATATTTTTAACAGAATCGAATGGAGGAATCTGTAGCATTGTTTCGTACTATTATAACGTTCCCATGGTTCCAAAATACGTCAATTATTCTATTCCTGAACAAGATGGATTTGTTTGAGCTCAAAATTATGACAACGCATTTGGTAGACTATTTTCCTGAATATGATGGTACGTGGTCCGAATTGTATGTTGACTCTATGTTTTAACATTTATTTGACTTCTTACCGAATAGGTCCAAGGAAAGATGCATTTGCGGCTCAATGTTTTATAAAAAATATGTTTTTAAATGTAAATCCTGATCGAGAAAAAACCATTTATTCGCATTCTACCGTTGCTACAAGTAAGTGTACGTAATATGTAAGTGTAAATGCGTCAGAAATTTCGTAAGATTGTGATGGCGTTTCTTATATGAAATTTGGCTTTGTTAGGCGAAGCGAATGTCTAAAGTAGCAAGAATGCCCAAACATTTCTTCAGGAACAGCTTAATTTTCGAATTTTTTTCGACGATAGTTGAGTACCTCGACTATCAGATACCCGTTACTCGGCTAAAGAGACCAAAGGGAGATGAATTTATGCAAGCAGCAAAGCGAGATTGTAATGCGCCACCTACCCGCGATCTCAATATATGGTTATGTGGGCGTGTCAAACTTTATTTGGATCAATCGATAGGTAATAAGGAGCCTAATACAATTCAGCAAAAAAAATTTTCTAGCATGAAAACTTTGTGCGCCACAGGTTTGGGCTGCGAAGGAGTTTTTAGAATCTGCATGCCTAGTCCCAGTACGGCCGCTTTTATAGTTCCCAAGATCACAGCGTTCACACGGACAGACGTAGATCTAGACCTAGATCGACTCGGCTAATGATGCTGATCAAGAATATATACACTTTATGGGATCGGAAACGCTTCCATCTACCTGTTACATACTTTCCTACGAATCTAGTATACGCTTTTACTCCACGAGTACCGGGTATAAAAATCCATCAACCTTCCAGACTTTTTAGGGCTTCAAGAGCATTTTTTTAAAAATACTATTTGGTTGGAATTAAATACTCTACTTGATTCTGAAATAGTTTCTGTGACACCGAGATTTGATTGAAAGGAGAGATTTGGTTAAGAAAGATTGTTTTTGCACCCCTTTATATAAAACCCTTCTACTGTAAAAGTAAAATGTATAAAATATCTAAAAAATAAACTAATCAAGCATTCTTTTCGTTGTTTAGATACGCAAAATATTAGGAATGTGTTTAGAGATATCAAAGACACAATTGTGGACTCTAACCTTAAGGACTATAATTTGGTGTGACGTTTACCCTTACATGTAATATTGACGACGAAGGTTTTATGCGTGTAAACAGAAACTCAACCAATTCGATAGACGTATTAAAGAAATTATGTACCCCAACGTTAATAAACCATTATTATGTAAATATAAATGGGTAAATAAAATATACCTCCCCCATATGCGGATCTTACAAAACTGATTTTTATTTCAAACTTAAGGTTACATACACAATCGTTTATTTTTAAAACGTTTCACAAACTATTTTTATTTTGTCTTAGGCTCAAAAAATTTAAATCGAGCTGCCCTCATCCGGAAATTCAGTACAAATGAAGTATCACAATGAAATCATATTTCTGTCATGCTTTGCATTGGCCGTAAAACTTAATATTGGCGAACAAGCAAACTAAACATCACTTTGATCAACAGTTAAAAACAAAAAAAACGCACATTCTTAATTGCTAAATATAATCTTGGATGGGTTCTACAAAATCTTTTTGGCACTTGGGCGTTTATATGACCACGAAGTCGCTGAGGTTGCGCTCCGGTTGGACCATGCTCGGTGGCATCAGTTGAACCAGTTTGTTAAACAGGAAAGCTCGTTTGTTCTTTAGCTCGGGAGTGCACTCCGTGCGCGCTCTTTTAGTGCATGACGAGGAGCTGGGACTGGAGGCGGTCTCAGAGATGCCGGACGAGATCAGACTTTCGTTCGATTCCAATGAAATATTCTCGGTGGCGGGGCCATCAGCCACTTCATCTGGAAAATAAAAAAATCATTCTCCATATAAGTCAAATAAAAAATGGTGACAGTTAAAACCTTTGATTTTGGTTGACACATCAGGATCCGTTTCAAGATCTTCAGCATCAGCACACAGCGCTGGTGTAGTACACTCTCTTTCGATGCTACTATCATGGTTTTTAAAGAGCAACGAAGCAAGTTTGTGGAACTGAAAAGAACGAGAATGAACATTACAAACTGAAACACGCCCTTAAGAATATAAAACATACATTATTTAACTGTTCTGCATCGCTATGATCAATCACAGCGGCTATATGATGCCGCAAATACTGCATTGCCTTAAAGGGGTCCTGGCGCGTCATCTCCTCGTAGCGCATCTTTCGCACCAAAAACCGACAATGCTTTAGGATCTCGTCTCGTTTTGGTCTATAAAAGCAGGAAATTAACATATGATACCTTCAGCAAGTGGAGTACAAGTACTTTTCCAGGCGCAGCAGCCAGAAATCGTCAAGTCTCAGTTGCTGCTGCTGGCAGATTCCAGGATTTCCTCCAAACAAATAATGGGTATTAGCCAAATCATCGTACACCAACTGGTGGGCATAACGGGGACAAGGTTCTATGGACCCATCCCCTTTGCTGGCGCCCAAAATGTTCATCTTGTTGATGGAGTTCGCATCCTGTCCACTGTGGCGACAGTAATATATCCTTGACCACTTGTGACTGCGCAGGGAATAGACCCAAAATGAGTTCGATGCATCAAGATGCTGTATATCGCGACGATCCTTAACCTTACTTAGGCTCTAGAAGTATACGAATCAATTAAGGACTCTGGTATTGTGCAATGTGCTCACAGAAAATATGTAAATCTCGTCGCGTTCACAATCGATAGTCGCTCGCAATGTATAGCCTGAAGACGGCTCAAATTTGGCTTCGTTGCCAGCGGTGGTTCCGTGATGAGGGTGCTCCTTGTTGAGCACGGATATGGCCTGGGTGTCTACGTCGTAGCTGAGGAACTCGTCCAAATCCTCCTTGCCTCGTTGACCGCCATAAATGTAAAGTTTTCGATGTTTCTAATGTGAAAAAATTTTATATAATCAGCGTTTTTGAAGTGAATTAAACCTACATTATGGAAAACCATGCAATGAGTGATCCTGGATTTGATGGACATCACATCTGCCAGGGATGCGCTTGCGTGGTGACAGTCCACCAGTATCTGTGCCCAGGTATTTGTGGCTATGTGATAGGAAAACAGCCCTGAATACTCTGGTTCTATTGCTCCCGTAGCATTGACACTGCGAGGTGTCAGTATTTTGCCTCCGAAAACGTAAATTGTCCTCTTATCGGCATCCATGCACATCTGGTGATCGTAGACAAGCTGTGGACCTCCGACTTGACTGGTGTCATCGCAGATCTGCATCCAGTTCCCAGCTCTCGTGTCGTAAAGGTAAAAGTCGCTCTTTATATAATCCGAAGTTCGAATAGAGTTGTCCAGGTAACGACCAAGCATGAACACATTTTCGCTGATGGGGTCAAAAACCATTTTGTGGCAGGATCGCGGTGTGGGTCCATTGGAAATCTCTGACCGCTCGCACAGAAGGGACCACTGATCATTATCAATATTGAACACCCAAAGGTCACTCAGGTCCTGATAACCATCCCAGCCACCGTACAGATATATTAGTCTCTTTTTGGCATCCACCACCAGTTGATGACCTCCGCGGTTGCCTGAAAAAGTGAAAGTTAAGCTGATAATTGATATATGGAGAAAGGAATACTAACCAGGCTTCATGTCGCTTTCGGTAAGCTTCATATGCCAGCTGTGCTTGTAGTCCTGTTTGTTCAAATATTCGTCCATTAGACCTTCTTCAATGCACTCGACTATAAAGCGCTCAGCCTTCTCAAAGTCTCCCTGCAAAACCTATGAAGTATAATTTCTTAAATTAAGAAAATTCATCATGGATTCATTTTAATAACTTATATCAGAATTCGTTGAGTGTATACAACAACGTATACCAATTAAGTTTTTTAAGTTGAGTCCAGGGATTATCACTAAGGATTTTCTGCCTACCAGACACTTGTGGAGTTCGCTGATCAGCGGGTGCTCCAGTTGCACATTCGTCTGCTCCTGGAGTGCCCCGAAGGCACTCATGTAGCCCTGCTGACGGAAGTGCTTGAGGCACAATTTAATGATCTCCAACTCGCGCAGCGCGTTGTAGTTCTTCATGCGCGCACTGGTGTACATGGGGTCGTCCTGGCCGTGCAGCTCGACGTACCAGATGCTGAAGTTGAACGAAGGACCCCAGGAGAGCAGGGGCACGATCTTGAGGTACAGTATGGGCAGGTTCTCCGAACCGTCTTCGGTCAGGCAGCGCAGGTTGAATACTTCCGGTACGTTGTCGTTTTTCAGGCCTCTAAAGGGGATACTTTTTATAAGGATTTTAAAGATCCGGGATAACGTACCCTTCAAGCAGCAGGACCATGTGCTCATCTTCCAAGCCCCCGTAAACGCGGAACTTCTTAATGTTGCACACATGCGACTTCTCGAACTTGCCAAACTTGATTTTCTTCACAATGGCGGGACGGCGCAGCTTCAAGGTGAGAAATTGCGGAGGGCTGTTTGTGTAGGCTGACCACCTGGAAGTTTGATCGTTGGGACAGTCCACCAGGACGTTTCTGCGAACCGAAGGGAATGGAATTTAAATGGATGCGCATTTCACAATTACGAAATCCGTGGCATCCATTTTCTTTTCTTTTTTTTTGTTCTAACTTACTCGGGCAGATAGTTGGGCGAATAGCTGGAATAACGGTAGATCTCAAAGTTCAGCCGCTCGGAGAGGGAAAATGGCTTTTGGCTACTGGTATTCGTCCCGGAGACCGGGTTCAATGAAGGATTTAGGGCCGAGGACAGCGCCACCGATCCGTGCGAGCTGTTGTCCGTGGGACTGGACGTCGAGGAGGAGGACATGGTGGATGAATGCGCGGGGTGTATGTTCCAACGGATTCCTTGCTAGTTAAGTGTAACGGAGCTCGCTACTTGCTGTTGTTACTTTTGTTTCCTGTCCGCTTTTCGGTGCTCGCCTGTTCCACACCCACAACAACCGCGTAACAGCTGATTGCCATGGGCGTACGCGTGAGTTCATCGTGGGGTGTACTTAAGATATGTGTTACTTTTGTAAATAAGGATGCAGACATTTTGAAAATTGCACATTTTTTAATTCATATTAGTTTTTAAATTTATTTAAGAATTGCTGAAGTGCATTAAACAAAGATTTATAATGTATGATTTTTAAACAAGATTGTTCTTAATATCAATCCATAAATATATAATATAATGTACATAACTCTTGTCCCTAGAAAGGGGTACACATCACCCATGTGTACCTTCGATATCCGCATATCGTGGCTTATCGCTTTTATTGTTATCTTTATCGTTTTCAAACTTGGTCACGCGTGAAAGTACGACATTTAATCAAATGAAGTTATTAAAATGTAGTTAGTGTTTATTTTGGGTCGTTTAGGTGAAACGGTGAAGTTACTTTTATTTACGCCGAAGATGGCAAAGTGTATTGATGTGACGCATAAATATCTGCTAATTTTATTATTTCTGGCAAACTCATTTGTACGTTATTAAATCGAAAAAAAAACATATTTAAACATGTTAAACAAAAACTCGGTTAGGAAATCTAAATTATCATACGTTTTCTAGGTTAAACCCCTATTTTAATTTAACATGATTAAATACATTTTTAACGATACTTTTTTAGTCCTTTTCCATTGGATACTCTTACAAAATAAGGAAGAGTGAGTGCATAGCTAATGCGGCCTATTTCAGCAATGTCTCTTGTGTTTTGAAGCCAATAAACTGGACTCGATCGGTAATGAACATGGATTGTGACATTAAAGACATCTTAACTGACATCAAAGTGAGTAGGTGCATCCATGTTACAATTTTTATAATTTAAAAGATTTCCAGATGACAGTAGAAGTCTTCTATAAAGATTCTTCAAATCTTTATAAACCCTTTGCCGTCAAATTTAGCTTTGATATTTGCCAACTTTTAAAAAATAAAACAAAACGATTTTTGCTGGAAAAATACGCTATGAATCATTTAGAGAAATGGACTAATGTGAATCACAGTTGCCCGTTCACGGTGAGTTTTAACAACTTACTACTTAAATTATACAACTTCTTATTTTACAGGGCCATTTGTTTGCACGCGAGTTCCATTTGGATGAGGTGTCTTTGCCGACTCTGCCTTTCCAGGATTACAAAATTGCATTTAATTTTTCAGGTGACAAGCCATCGAAACACTTGGGTTTGGTTTTTATTTACTTCGAAGTGCTGCAGGATTATTACAAGAACAAACGGACTAAACCACGTCCAAAGTAAACTGATATTGTTGAAAATTTGTTGTATAACTTTCAATCTCCTTTTTACTTTCATAATATCTTGTTATTGTATTATGATATAAATAGTCGGGGGAGTCACCGAAATAAAATAGGTTGGAAGTCTTAAAATGTAGTGCATATTTCCTCGGAATTTCCTTTTACAGCATTCAATTCGTTGATTTAAATTTTAAAATTATCGTCTGATAGAAATGCAAGTCGTGAAAACGTTTCTGACACTCTTTGTCGGTTGTGACCGGCAGTAGTTGATGTTGGCGTACGGTCACTCTGATAGTGTCGTGGCTTGGATTGGATTTGCACGGTGTTTGTATTTTTTATCTTTAAAGCAATTATTTAAGAAATAACTATGGCCTTTGACGCAATTCCCAAGGATCTGCGAGGACTGCGTGCCTGCCTCGTTTGCTCTCTGGTGAAAGTAGGTTCTTGTTTTTATCTGATCCGGCTCTTTTTAAAGACCCTATTTTCAGAGTTTTGATCAATTTGAGACTGATGGCTGCGAAAACTGCGAGGAGTTCCTGCGCATGAAGAACAACAAGGATAACGTGTACGATCATACGAGCAACAACTTTGACGGAATTATTGCCCTGACCACGCCCACCGACTCCTGGGTGGCCAAGTGGCAGCGACTGGGTAAAGTCTTTATATTTTCGGCTCCTTGGAGTACAGCTATCATGCTTGATTTACCCATCCCTCAGCTCGATTCACCCGTGGCATCTACGCCATTTCTGTTTCCGGAACTCTGCCCCAGTCCACATTGCGAGACATGAAGAACCGTGGAATCGTCTACAAAACCAGAGATAGAAGCCAGCGCTAGCACACCCGATTGACGTACAAATTACATGTATAAATCTTTATTTTTAAGTTATAACAAAACCACGAATACATACAATAGCAATACAAAACCACACCGCATCAGTCATCCAGTGGGGAAACGCGCAATCCCTCGCCTCCGGCAGTCGTCACATGGACACCAAAGCCCGCCGATTCAAGTTCCTCCTTGAGTTTCCAATAAACCTCATTGCACTCGTAGTTTTCAGGCAACAGGACTATCACATAGCCACCAGCACCAGCGCCCGTTAGCTTTGAGAAGAAACCCCGCTTAAAGGCGATGGTAAAGATCTGCTCCAGCTTCGGGTGCGATACTCCAATGGCCTTTAGCAGATCATTGTTAATCTGGAATAGGCGCTCCAGCTGCTCGAACTTAGCGCTGTCATCCTGTGCGTTGCCAAAGCTCTCGTAGAGCGGAACGGCGGTAGTGACCAACTCCTCGCAGGCCTGCCAAATGGCCTCGATGAGCTGTGGGAAGGCCTCGCCCAAGTGACGGACCTTGGCCACTATATCCGCGGTACTGCGACTCACTCGACTGTCCACCAGCAGGATGTTTAGAGGTTTCTGGATCTTCAGGGACTGAAAGCCCTGGCCCTTGACATACCGCAACATTCCACCATACGTGCACACTGTGTTGTCCAGACCCGAAGGTGTCCCATGGTTCACTCGCTCCGATTCAAAGGCCCAGCTGGAGATCAAAGCCTGGTTTTCCTCTGTCAAGTAGCTGTCTCTGTCGAAGTGCCCGGCCAAAATGAGAAAAGTCGTGGCCAAAGCGGCGCCAAAAGAGGCGGAACTGCCCAAACCCGCGCCCACGTTCAACTGGCTGTCTACCTGCACCTGGAAACCGGTTTGCAGAGTCAGATTTGGATCGCCGGGTGCGGAGAGTACAGCGCCGGCCAACAAATAGTAGATGGAGACAAAGGCCCTCTGGGTGTGCTGCTTGGTCGTACTGCCTCCGGATCGCTCCAGCTGTTTGGAAACCTCTGCACGGACGGCCTCTAGCAGTTTAGCTGTGCTGTCTGAAGGGTATTTACTCCTAAATTCAGACAGGAAGGTGTTAAACTCGGTCAGCTGAATCTCCAACGTGCAATTGAGTGCCTCCAGCTGGAAACTTGCCACATGGCTAGCCTCCAACTGGCGGAATCTCAGGGTAGTGCCCAAACCCACTACGGCGGCGAGGGCGGGACGATTATAGACAACTGCGTGTTCGCCATGGAGGATAACCTTGCCCGGAGAATGGACCTGGAACTTGAGCATTGTTCGAGCTGATCTCTGTGTATTGTTCTGTTTTCCGTTCGACTATAGCTTTATCGGGGTATCAGCTTTTTGATTTGTAAAGCTAATGCCTTTGGAGCAGACAACCTCTCGAGAGCACTTAAACTTTTATTGGTGTTTTTTATGTAACGTATGCATTTAGCGGATCGTTTGCGTTGTTTACTTGGTAACTCCTGAAGCTGAGTGCGATTCCTGTGCTTTCCCTTTCACTTTCTTTGTTCGACTGGCGTTTTTTCGGGTTTCGTTTCTTCGATCGGATCTCGTCACACGCAAAAGCGCGACTACCAACAAACGAACAACAGGTTATTGCGGCTTGTGTTTGTTGCTGTATGTATGTGTATGATGTTGTTTTTGGTGTTTTGGTACTACTATTGGGCTTTCACTTTCTCCCACTCTTCGGGCGTGTACGATTTCTGGGAGAATGCATGGATTTCTTTCAGTTCTTCGGCCAGCGTCGAGTTCACTAATCTATGTTTTTGCAGCAGGGTCTTCCCGTTGAAGGCTGGAGTCACGATTACGGCGCTGAATTTGCCGCCACAGCCGTCAGATTCGTCCGTTACACTCACGTACTCCGCCTGCAGTTCCCTTTTGAGCTTCTCCTCGAGGTACTTTGAGTTGTATTTACTCATTTTGGATGGATTTTTTCAAACGAAACCAGGTGCTGAGGCAGGTGTGTGACCGTAGTGGATTTCGGATGAATTCAAGCTTTCCGTTTGCCGGTAGGGAGTTTTTTTACGATTCTGGCATTTGGTTACTCTTTCGGACATTTAAAAACTTATTTGAGGTTGTTAGGTTATTTATGCGCTGTCTTGCATTAACATGTAACATGACCCATGTAAGCTGAGCAAACTGTACCTCAAAGATCGAAACAGCGGAAGAATTTAGCTAAAACTGTTGTAAACAGTAAATGTCAATGAGTTTACTCAAAAAATACTGTTTATTTTAAATAAATTTAAAACTTTTGTTTAAAATATATTGGCACGTTCCAAAAATAACGGTTTTGAACTTTTTTTTTCCAAAAATTTAGTATATTAATCAGGACCTCAATTTGGAGGGGCCCTAATTAAAATTTAGAAAAACATCGATAAGGTTCTGCCTGCTATCGATTTATTAGAAACATCGATGATATCGATAATTCTCCACCACCTCCTACGCGGTCACACTGCTTCGCGCATTCATCGCCATTCTTGCGATAGCACGCGCAGTTTTCCCACCATTCATTAAAAAAAGTCGCATGTAATTATTTACCATTTGTTTAAGCAAAACTAACTTGGTTTTGTGTAAATTGTCATATGTTCTTGTGCTGTATGCGTAACTTACCATTTGGAAATACGATTTTCAGTACGTATTGAAGGAGGCACAAGTGAAACACGCTGCATCGCCGTGGGTTAGATTGTGAAAAAACGGAATTCCATTTTAGAGACAGACGCCGGCATTGCGAATATGTCTAAAGCAGAAACAGCCGCCGTGGAGGCAACCGAGGAGAACTCGGTAAGTTAAAGCATTGGGCATTTTTAAACGGAGGGTTATATATACAGTCCGATCTCTTGCAGAACGAGACAACCTCCGATGCGGCCACCAGCTCATCTGGCGAAAAGGAGGCCGAGTTCGACAACAAAATCGAGGCGGATCGCAGTAGGCGCTTTGATTTCCTGCTGAAGCAGACGGAGATCTTCACCCACTTCATGACCAACAGTGCCAAGAGTCCCACAAAGCCCAAGGGCAGGCCGAAGAAGATCAAGGATAAGGAAAAAGAGAAGGACACGGCCGAGTGAGTTATGCTTCTTAAGGAAACCCATTCGATATACTTATTATTGGATTTTTTTAACAGCCATCGCCATCGAAAAACGGAGCAGGAAGAGGATGAGGAGCTGCTGGCGGAGGACTCAGCCACCAAGGAGATTTTCCGCTTCGATACCTCACCCAACTACATCAAAGGCGGGGAAATGCGTGACTATCAGATCCGCGGACTCAACTGGATGATTTCTCTGTACGAGAATGGTATCAACGGAATATTGGCCGATGAAATGGGTCTCGGAAAAACCCTCCAAACCATATCTCTGCTGGGTTATCTCAAGCATTTCAAGTAAGCTTCAACATCCACCAAACCCCTCAAGAAACAATATGAATTGAAAACTCTTCCTTCAGAAACCAAGCTGGACCCCACATCGTAATTGTGCCAAAGTCCACGTTGCAGAATTGGGTAAATGAGTTCAAGAAGTGGTGTCCTTCCCTTAGGGCTGTCTGCCTGATTGGAGACCAGGACACGAGAAACACCTTTATTCGGGATGTGCTCATGCCGGGCGAGTGGGATGTTTGCGTGACCTCCTACGAGATGTGTATCCGCGAGAAGTCCGTTTTTAAGAAGTTTAATTGGCGCTATTTGGTCATTGACGAAGCACATCGTATTAAAAACGAGAAATCCAAGCTTTCGGAAATCTTGAGAGAGTTTAAGACCGCCAATCGCCTGCTCATCACGGGTACTCCGCTGCAGAACAATCTTCACGAGCTGTGGGCCCTGCTTAATTTCCTGCTGCCCGATGTATTCAACTCGTCGGAGGACTTCGACGAGTGGTTCAACACAAACACTTGTCTGGGTGACGATGCGTTGATAACGCGTTTGCACGCCGTTCTAAAGCCTTTCCTGCTTCGTCGTCTTAAGGCCGAAGTAGAGAAACGCCTGAAGCCTAAAAAGGAGATGAAAATATTTGTCGGTCTGTCCAAGATGCAACGCGACTGGTACACCAAGGTGCTGCTCAAAGACATCGACGTGGTAAACGGCGCCGGCAAGTTGGAAAAGATGCGACTGCAGAACATCCTTATGCAGTTGCGCAAGTGCACCAATCACCCATATCTGTTTGATGGCGCCGAGCCTGGTCCACCGTACACCACTGACACCCATTTGGTGTACAATTCCGGTAAGATGGCCATTCTTGACAAGCTACTGCCCAAACTGCAGGAGCAGGGATCGCGAGTGCTGATTTTC